TATCTGATATGTATTTTACCTCCAAATTACCAGGCTATCCCAGATTGGAGTGTAAGAAAACACCACTGTCTATGATCAGTGGCCTTCTGGGGAAGATGGGCTGTGTGAAAAGACCTAGGCGAGCATAAGGTCAGGAGCACGTCAGTTAGAAGCCTGAAGGCTGGTCCTGGCCTTGCCCCTGAACACCTTTCACAAAGAGTCTAGGGCATGATGGGCTGTTTGGAGTGGATGCTCAAAGCCCTTGAAAGGAACCTAAGTCTACTTGGCAAGCAGCAGTCCTTAGGCAGCCTTTTTCCTTAGCCATTGACTTTGTGTAGCCAGGGACACAGGGAGGAGCAGACACCATGCTGCAATAGGGATTTTTCTAATGGGAAAATGTTCAGTCAGTGTTTCGACAGAACCGGGCAGGACAGGACAAGGATAGGATGCTACGGATGAGTGTGGTGGAGCACACCTGTGGTGGAGCACACCTGTGGCGGAGCACACCTGTGGTGGAGCACACCTGTGGCGGAGCACACCTGTGGTGGAGCACACTTGTGGCCTGAGCACACCTGTGATGCTAGCAAGGTAGGCTGGGAGATTAGGAGCTCGAGGTCATCTTTAATATACAGATGAACTAAAGGCCAACCTGGACTACAAGAGACCCTTTCTCATAAAAACAGAAAAAGAAAGAGATACAGTAGATTGAGTGGCTTGGGGGACAGACACTTTTCTCCTAGTCCTGATGTCTGTGAGCGAGGCAGGCGGTCTGGGTGGGGTCTGGTGAGGACCCTGCTCCTGGTTTATTTCTATTCTCATTTGTCAGGAAAGGGGTTGGCAGAGAGAAAGAAAGTTCACCAGCATCTCTTCCTGTAAAGTCCCTCCTCCCATTGCGGGGACCCATCCTTGTGACTTAACTACCTCCCAAGCACCTCATCTTCCAACAGCCATAATAGGGATTAAGGCTTTAATACATGAATGGAGGTGTCCTCAGTGGCAGGATCCTCGGGTGACTGGACTGAAGCCTGGGCAAAGAGCAAGGAGACAGAATCAGCCTCCACAGCCGGGGACACATAAGCAGCTCAGCACTGTGGGCTGTGAGGGCAACTGCTGAGGTTTGCGAGAGCTGAGGCTGGAGGGACCTGTGGGCTTCAGATTGCCTGACAAGCCCATCAGGATGTAGATTCCGGGGTCCTCTCCATCCCGAAAGAATGAATGCCCATGGAGGAGACCACGGGAGTACTCTTTTGCCAGTGACCAGGGAGTCTGCACGTGCCTTGGTCCGTCTTGTCCCTAGGGTCCCAGGTACCAGAGGGGCACAGAGCACCGAGTATGGTCCCCACTGAAGAGATGTTCGAATGTCCTGCCTATAAGACCTGCTGCTGGGGCCAGCTGCCTCCTTCCTTCACCACATGCCTGCCCTATTACAAGACAGGAGAGCTGGGGAAAGACAGGTTTCCAGCTGGGCGAGCTCCCTTAGTCTGTGCAGCAGGGCACGGACAAATCTCCCTTACCTTGTTTCTGCTTGGCTGGACTCTAGCCTTGTGAGCTGGAAGGACATTCTTTCTCCTTTCTCTGTCCTAAGTGAAACCCAATTCACACCTGGGCTCCTCAGCCCTGCTCAGAGCACCGTGGAGAAGCTGGGGAGGAGGGGAGGCCAGCCTGTCCTTCACCGAAGGTGAATCAGAGGCTTTTAGGAGAGTGGTCCCTGTAGCTGCTCAAATGGATGAGGCGCTGTTTGTTTGGCCGGGCACTCTCACACCTCGTCTATGCTGTGTATATGCCCACCAGCTATCCTCTGCTTGTTCTGAGCCCCCATTCTCAGCTACACGACACCTCACCTCAGTCAGCTGTTCCTGAGAGCGGTCTACATCACCCTGCATTAGACCGACCTGAAACTAGAACACAAAAGTCGACATGCCTGCCCCTTCCTGCTTCAATTTTGCTGCAAACTCCTCAAGGTCATAATCTACGGTGCTTCCTTCTGTTCCCCAGTCCCTGACACACCACAGGAACTCAACAGATATCTGTGGAAACCAGCAGAACCTGGCCTAAGAGAAAGGCATCCTCTGAAATATGGATGGCATGATGAAGCCTTGCTGGTTTGTTTGGGACAGGTCTTGCTATGCAGCCCTAGTGGGACTGGTACTTCCATATAGCCCAGGCTAGTCTCAAATCTGTGGCATTCCCTTTGCTTCAGATTCCTGAGCAGTGGGATTATAACCTACCACACCCACGTGACAAGATGATTTAACATAGAATGTAAAGAATTTGCTCTTTGCTATATTTAGGATTGGAGGCTTCCCCTCTTCCCTAGACAGATTAATGTGTAAACCGAAGGTGACTGTTTACGTCCTAGAGGGCTGGAGGGAAGGCAGGGCTCCTTTAAACATTAAACCTTCCTTGAAACTTTCAGAAATCTGCCTTACAGATCATTAACTTCTGCCGCAGGAAGGGACCAGGAGCCCTGGGGAATTACCTGTGGGGGTCTGAGTTCAGAGGAGCAAGGCACACTGCCTTGGAGCCAGCTGTGTGGCCCAGAGCAAGTTACTGTCTGGACCTCAGATTTCCACATTGCCAAAGTGAAGGCACACTATATCATTCAAGTTTTGTAAAGCTTTAAGAGCCTATGAAGTCCCTTAGTTTTGTAGGTCCCAGTGGCAGGCAGCAACTGTACTGGATGCTGTCTGACAAACACATAAGAGGCTAACCTGTTTTACCTTGGACAGCAGGAATAAGGTATGGCAGGTAGAGGGCCACCCCCTCCTTGGCAGCACATTTTCTGTATTGAAAAATGTACCCCCCAGATTATTAGCATCATTATTATTCAGTTTTATGTGTATGGGCTCTGTGACGGCTATCCTTAGTTGTCAACTTGACTGTATCTGGAATGAACTACAATCCAGAAATGGGGGCCATACTTGTGGTCTGGATCTTGAGGCAGTAAGAACACCTTTAATCTGAGCCACAGCTTTTGCTGGAAGCTTGTGTAGGGACGAGGGAAAAAGGAAGGGGTTGCCCATTCTTCGCCTGCATGCCCTTGCCTTGGCAGCACATCCATTCCTTCGCCGGCGTTGGAGCCCACTTCCTCGGGATGCCAGCGTACACAGAAGACCAGCTGAGACACCCAGCCTCATGGGACAGAGCAACTACTGGATCCTTGGGCTTGTGGTCTTCCTACCTCTGTTTTCTTAAGTGTTAGGATTACAAGTGTGTACAACCCAGTTCATGTAGTGCCAGCATCAAACCCAAACCCAGGGCTTCCTGCTTGCTATTTCCCGGCTGAGCTACATCCCAACCTGATTCGAAGTGTTTGGTTTGTTTACTTTGTTGACAGGGTCTCACTGTGTAGCACTGGCTGGTCTGGAACTCACAGAGATCCACCTGCCTCTGCCTCCCGAGTGTGAGGTGTGTGCCACCACCGCCCAACTCTATTTGAGATTTTAAAGACTAAACATCTCATATGATGCTACAGACACGAACAACCGCACTGAACAGCGTGATGATCGAGGTCCTTAAGTCCTTGGAGACCTGCACTTTCTAGCTTGGTCCTGACTGTTCACTGTATCTGCACAAAGGGACAATAGTGCTGGACTCCTGAAGTCACAGAATGCCTGCCCAGGTAGACAGACCCCCCCCACACACACACACCATGATTTGAGTCAGCACCATATCGTGATGTGATCAGCATTTAAACCAAAGCAGAACTGCCTCGTTTAAGAAACTACTTATTCTGGAAACATGGCAGGAAGGTGCCTCTGACTCTGCTCACCAGAGCTGCATGAGTTGGACTCGCTCACTTATACCACTTATACGGGGTTTGCCCTGGATAACATCTCTGGTTCCTAAATTGGTCCTGCTGTCAGTTCCTGATGGTCTGCTCCGATCAGGACCCATTACCTGCCCAGAGTCTCCCTCCCACAGACCAGGGAAGGCAGACATCCTTTTGGTTTCTGAGTACCCAGACTGAACCCAGGACCTTTGTCACACTAGGCAAATTCTCTACCCCTGCACTACATCCTCAGCCCATTTCTTCACTTTGCATTTCGAGAAAGGGTCTCACTAGATTGACTAGGTTGGCTTTGAACTAGCAGATCCTCCTGCTTCAGTCTCGGGATCAGCTGCGATTACAGACCCACAGCAGCGCACGGGGCAGAACTGGCTTTTCGCTTATGTGCCCTGCTCAGACCTTTAGTTTTGCGCAGTAGCTGCACTGCCTTCTAGCCGCTGACCCGCACAAAAGATTAAATACTCTAGTTGAGGTAAAACGTGCTGGCGAAAGGGACGATGAATGAGCGTGTTCTCTTTTCAGAGGTTTTTGATATATCCTGGTTCCTCTTATTGTGCCCCCCCCTCAAAAAAATGGGTTTGGACATTAGAGAGACGTGGTCACCTCCCTCTTGTTCCATGAAGAACACTCCATGGATCTGGGGTACAGTTGCCAGCCCTCTGCCGCTCCTTCAGCAGGGGCCTGAACCCAGCTCTGTTTGAGAATCTTCAGTGCCCGGAGAACCGGTCCCTTCCCAATGCGGCTGGCAAGGCAGACCCCACTTCTGGCTGCCAGGGTGAGCAGTCCACTCCGGCTTGCTCTGGCATCTCCGCAGAGAGGCCGCCAATAACTTTGACCTCGGAGGGCGCCCAAGGGCGCTGGGGTCGGTTCTTCGGGGACGTCCGCCGACTCCACCCGAAACGTTCTCAACCGCCAGCGTTCCTCAGCTTCCCTTCCAGCGGAGCTGGTGTAGTGGGTTGAAGCGTGGCACCTCCGGCGCCCTGGCTGCGCCCCACCATTACCTCGGCTCCTCTCCGCTTTCGCGCCCGCGTGCCCAGGGAGGGTTTGCTCGGCGCCCGGGACACGGCCCGGTGGCAGCCGGTGCGCCCCACACTCGGGGCGCATCCTCCTCCGTCTGTGAGGGGAGCCGAGCCGCGGCTGCTCCGGGATCCCAGCGTGCGCCCCGTAGGAGCGGCCACAACCCCGGGAGGAGAGGGAGGCTGGGGGTGGGAACAGGCCGAGGTCGCGGCTCCTCCAGCCCCTTCCGCCGCCCCTCCTCTAGCCTTCCTCGCCCTCTCTTCCCGGTCCGGCCCCTCAGGCCGCCCGCCCGCTGGGCCTTTCACCTTCTGGCGAAGCCAGGGAGTAGCGGTCGCGGCGAGGTCTGGGGCGCAGCGCGCTCCCGCCAGCCCGGCCTCGCCTGGCAGGCCCCGGGGCCGGACTCCCCGCCTGCCCGGATTTAGGGCGAGTCCTTCCCGGGACTCTGCAGCGGCCCGGGACGGGGAGCGCGGGCTGGGGCCTCGCCTCTCCGAGGGATGCAGGGGATGGAGGCGGCAGTGAAGCCTGCGCGCCGAGCTCAGTGAGTACGGAGAGGAGCCGGGCGGGGTGGCGGGGCGCAGAGGGGACCTGGGCCGCCGAGACCCGACCTCACACCGCCGTAGAGCCGGAAGGGTTGAGGAGGCCCGCTCTTCACGTCCATTTTCGTTCCAGTTTTCCTGACTTAGAGCGTCGGTGCTGCGTCAGTGCTAGGAGCGGAGGGCTCCATGACCGTCTTCCGGAAAGACCGTCCAGAGGCCTTCACCGGGAGCGTCTTGTTCTTTAAGGTCTGCAGACAATAATTTCTGGAGTGCAGTTCTAGAGTTTACCGGCCCTGAAGATCTTTGGGTTTTACTAAAAGGGCTCATGTTACAATCCCAACCCTGGCCTCTGGATTGGACCTCAGAGAATAGGTAGCTGGGCTGCAAAGATAAACCTAGTGTAGTCTAGATCTCTGGTTCTCAACCTTCCTAATGTTAACACCCTTTAATACAGTTCCTCATGTTGTGCTGACCCCCAACCATAAAATTATTTTCGTTGCTACTTCACAACTGTAGTTTTGCAACTGTTGTGAATCGTAATGTAAATATCTGTGTTTTCCAATGATTTAGGTGACCCTGTGGAAGGGTCTTTCAACCCCCAAAGGGGTCTAGACCCACAGATTGACCCGCTGCTGTAGATGATCCGGTAGAGGAGATGACTTCTGTCCTAAAGACAGTCCTTAAACTTCACAGATTTACCTCCGTGAAACTTGATTTATATCCCCGAAAAGCATATAAGCTGATTTATAACAAATGACTGTAGAGGAAGTTAACCCTTTAAGAACTTCTTATGGTGGATCTGTACTGTGTGAAGGGAGTGATTAGCTCCTCATCTGCTATAATGCATGGATTCTTATCCACGGACTTTCCTTCATATGGGACACATCTAGACGGTAGGATGATCCCTCAGAGCGGCCTGACAGAGTAACCATTAAGACCCAGGAGCTTGGACAGTGAGTAAGACAGTTGCTTCTTTCCTTTTGGAAGGCTGTTGGAATCAGCCCAGCCACCTCCGGGCTGTGTCACACTGGTGAGGCTTGTGACCTCTGCGGACTCAGATCTTACCTAAGAACAAGGGGCTGCCGTTAAATGCTAACTGTCCTGGCAGAGCCCTGGGCTTGGAGTGAAAAGCTTTTGGATACAAGTTGGACTTCCCCCATGGCATCCATGGGGTGTAATTTCTCCATACTTCAGTTTCCCCACCTGTGAAAAAAAGAAGATACCAATAGCATTCTAACACAGACATGTCGGAATTATTTTAGAGAATGTTGAAATGTTTGAAAAGTCTTAGTTTGTGACTGTCCCTGTCTCCTCTTGAGTACGGCTTGACCCTAGTCAATGACTTTTGCATTGGGGTTGGCATGAGGCTGGCAGGCACCCCTTCTACTGGAGGCCCAGGTCCTTCACCCAGAAGGAGGAGCATGTTGGCCATTAGCCAGCATTCTCCGAGGCCATCCTTTAGCCCAGGGTTGGGAAATCACACTGCTTTTTCACAGTACTCTACATTTGTCATAGGATTTGTTGTTTGAAGCCTTGCTTTGCTTGCCTGTAAAATGGGGTTAGAAAAGCTAGGAACACAGCACACATAAGGCCCCAGACCCTCGGAGGGACTGTTGACAGTTAGTGGTTGCTAGGGAAACTGTCATTTTCTTCAATAGTGTAAATACTGGTAAGTTGTCCATGCTCCAGGAAACACCCCCGTTCCCCTCCTCACCCATGAAAGAACATTACTCATAAGTTCAGCAGTCATGTGTTCGTACTGTTCTTTGACTTGTCCTTTCCGGTGTGTGTCCACGTTATGTAGTGAACACCCCTCTACTCTGTCTTGATATCTAAGCAGGGGTCCATATCAGAGCACTCTGGGGGACCAAGCAGGTTCCTGGGCCATCCAGGTACAGGGTTTCAGCTTCTCCTTTATCCTGCAGAGCATTCAAGTCAGGGAGCAGAACAACCAAAACCATGCAAGTGACTCCAGCTGTGGCCAGAAATGGTCCAGAGCCGCTGGACAGAGAACCTTTCCCAGGACCCACGTTCTGCCTCCAGGGAGACCGGACGCCTAGCCTGGTAGCTCCCAAGCCTCCCAGGACATGGAAGCTGCAGCTCCAAGGTCCTTCTGTGCTCGAGTCCAAGGTGAAGGCCTTGAAGGAGAAAATGACAGCAAGGAAACAGAGGGCAAATCCCTGCCCCACTTCCTATGAGCGTCCATCGCCCCCCAAATCCAAGTGCTGCCAAGTCAAGCCCGAAGCTGTTTGGAGCCTACTTGAGGGCTCTCCTCTACCAGATACCCTGGTGGTTCCCCATGCTCAGAACCAGACTGATGGGCAGCTAGACAGCAGTGTTAATGAGAAGAAGCCTGCCAGGAATGGTGGATCCAGGCCATCTACCCCTGGCCTCGGGAGCTGCAATGGACAAAGCCTGTGGTCTCCAGAAGCAGCGTGGCTGCTGGCTGATCATGGGGATGGCCCAGCACCAGGATCTGGCTCTTTACAAGAGAGCCCCAACAACCAGGTTTCTGTGGGTCAGCCAGAGGGGCCTGGTCCCTGTAAAACCACCCACCTGAGCAGCCTGAAGAAGAGAAGACCCTACCTACTTGGAGACGGTGTGGTGACAGAGGGAGATCTAGACAACAGAACCCTAACAACCTCCAAGGAGGACTTAGTCCCCAGAACAGACCTGCCAGACATGTTCGGGAGAGCTGGTGGCCTGGAGGCGCTGGGCACCGGGACAAACGCTTTGTCCCTGTCTGAACAGGTGGAAAGGAACCGCCTCCTGCTACAGGAGATGCTGAAAGTTTCCAGACAGGGTTCTTCCTCGGTGGGAAGCCCAGACCGGACTCCATCCTGGGACAGGGCTGCATCAGGTGAGTCTCATTTTGCTGGCCTGGTTTGGAACAAGTGGGAACTTGTAGGGAAACTGGGAAGATGGGAGAACACGATAATGTCACCCATATAACCGGTGTCCAGCTGGAACATAAGGTCCTGTTATAGCTCACAGGCAGCCTTAACTGCCTCACACCCTGTGGCCCTCCAGATCAGTGGGAGGCCATCCTTTGTGCTTGGGGACAGAGGCTATGTGACTCTTCCCTGTGCCTTGTAGCTCTTTGCAGAGTGGCCTTTTGCTCTCCCTCTGATGTTGTCCTGTGTCACCCCCGTTGTGCTTTATGTCCTCGGGTGGGCTAGCAGGCAGGAGCACTTCCCTGCAGAGGTTGGACAGAGTGCCACAGGAGCACTGTTGCGGGGGTGTGCTCACACTCCAAAAGACATCCTTGAGCTTTTTCATTGCCTTACCTGAGGGCATGTGTGGGGTCCTCTCCAGCCACTCTGGGTTCACTCAGTCTTTGTGACCGCCTGTGCCTCCACTTCTCAGACCAGAACCTGGGTCCCAGTTCCCCACTTTCTAATCCCATCATCCTGGAGATTAGACTTCAGTGTGTGAATTTTGGGGAACATAGGCCTACAGCCCACACAGGGAGCAGAGCATCTCTCCCGTGTTCACCGAGTAGCAGCTGACAGCCCAGTTGGTGGCTCTGTCCTGATCTCTGCTTCTGCTCTGGGCCCTAGAGAGACCAGCGGGAGACGTGGACTGGGACTCGGGCACCCCTCTGCAGGACTCAGGTCAGAGAAGGTAAGGGCTCCTCCTTACCTCCATTCCTCTTTTACTCTGCCCTAGAACATCAGGGAACCTTGCAAAGGCCCGAGGATAAAAAAGCAAACCTTCACCAGTGGATAGTGGCCACGGCCAACCATCGTCCTTGAGACTCTGTGGACGGTACCGCTGGGTGCAGAGATCTGCAGAGCCTTCCCATTACCTGCTCTGTGTCCTGGAGGCTGTTTCCCCCTGTCCAGGCTTCTGTTTCTTTTGAGCAGGAGGAGTTGAGACGTCATAGCTATCTGATTAGTTCACAGGGTTATTGCAAAGCTGAAGGGCATGGATGTGAAAATTCTTAGGGAAAGTACAGGAACCCAAAACTCTAACCCCTCCTATTCTTTCCTTAATCAGAGGAATGTGCTGGGCTCAGGATTAAGGGTTTCCCCTCCAGCCACTCACTGGGGCCCAAAGATTGTTTTCTAGCCCCTCCATCACTGTTTCAGGGAAGCTGTGTCCAGAGTATGGTGGGTGGATTGAGGCGCTGTCCTGTGCCTCGAAGAGTGGAAAGAGAGGTGTGGTGGGGGCTACGTGGAGGTCTGAACAAATGCCCACTCGGAGGTTGGCCCCAGCCTTAGCCTTTGCTGGGATGTTGGCCCATGAGGCTGAGCTGGGCCCTGGGACTGGGAGTGGCTTGCATTTCCACAGCTGCACATGACATCAGTCTCTGCAGAGTCCCATGATGTCTGCCCACAGCTGTCAGCTGTGTTCTTATTGGTGGGGCTGCTCCCCATGTAGCCTATTGTCCTCCTCAGAACCCGGGTAAGACCTCTGCCTTCCTTAGCCCATGCCGGCTGCTGTAACAAAACGCAGCAGGTGACTTAGAAACCTCGGGCATGTCATGCGTGCAGTTCAAGGGTGGTGACCAGTCCCCATTTCCTGATCCCATCACACTGGGGGTGAGATTCCAACATGTAAATCTGGGAAACATAGCCCCATCTCTGCTTCTGCTCTAGCAAGCTGAGGGTGCCCAGAGTCAGGTAATCAGGGTTGCGCTCAGCTGGCGGTGGGAGAAGGGTGTGGAAAGAGGAATGTCTGGCCCTTTAGCCCTCTGTATTTATGTCTGGTCTCTTTTGCCTTCCTGGCTGCTGTCCTCAGCCTCTCATCACATCCTTATCTGCCCCTGCCCCTGTGGTCTTCAGCATCCTCTGTCCCTGTGTCCTCTCTGTAGCTGCATCCCTGTGGAGCCCTCCCCCTGCAGTGCTGCGCTCTCCCACTCACCCAGTCCCCAGTCTCCCCTGGCCACCCTAGCTCCCTCACACGGGGAGGACTGAGCCAGGAGAGGGAAGGACTTTCACACATGCCTGTGAGGATGTTTAGAGCTCCCAGGACTAGACTCCTAGTTTAGTTTAACCTGGCAGGCCTTCTCTACCCATGGGCTATGTGGCAGGGTCACGCATGAGAGTCAGGTGTGATGGCGCATGGCTGGCATCTCGCCCCTTGGCAGGCTGAGGCAATGGCCGCAAGTCCCGTGCCTGCCTGGGTTACATAGTGAAACCTTGTCTCAAAAAGAGACAGACAGACAAAGAGATCTCAGGTATGGCTTGTATGTATATGTACTATATGATTCCCGTGTGTGTGTGTGTGTGTGTGTGTGTGTGTGTGTGTGTGTGTGATATGCTGAATCAGTGTATTTGTCTGAGGGGAGATACACACACAGAGAGAAAAACAGACAAACTTGTTTTAGGACCCTGTTCAAAGACTAACAAAATGTCTCCTTTGAGTGCCTGGCATATAGAGCCACAGGCATGAAGGTCAACTCCCTGCTAGGTAGAAACTGGCTGAAGGGTCAGGGAGCATAGATTCAAGGAAGAGAAAGTGCCAACCCCACTGCGATACCCCAAGACATTGCAGGGCTCCCATCTGAGTGAGATGGTCTTAATGATGCTATAACAACGGAACTACATTGCCCAGAGACTTGGCTTCTCTTGGCTCTGTGCCCCAGGAGTGCCACAGAGCATTTGTGTCCTGGGCTCAGGGTCTGTGCTAGGAGTGTAGGACCCTGGGCAGAGCAGTGCTCTGAGGTGGCAGCTGACCATTTCAATGTGCCGTGGCACAGTGGCCACCCACCAGCGCATGCCGTGGCACAGTGGCCACCCACCAGCGCGTGGCGTGGCACAGTGGCCACCCACCAGCGCGTGGCGTGGCACACTGGTCACCCACCAGTGCGTGGCGTGGCACACTGGTCACCCACCAGTGCGTGGCGTGGCACAGTGGTCACCCACCAGTGCGTGCCGTGGCACGATGGCCACCCATCAATGTGTGCCGTGGCGCTTCACTCTTAAAGCATTGCAGACCTTCTCAGGGCTTGAAAAGCAAATGGGTCTGCTTCCCATTCAGTCAAGTTTAGAATCTGGATAATTCATGTTATAATCAAAGAACCGTGACAGCCAGGTTAGCCCAACATGCTCCTAATTGTTACTGTTCTGCAAGGTAAGACGGCTAGCTCACGGAATGGTACTGATTGCAGAGTCCAGTGTTGGAGTCTGGGGTATCTAGACCAGCTTGCTGCAAGGCCTGAAGGAGTCAGCCATGGAGGTGAGCCACCTAAAGACTCAGGGCCTCAGATCCTGCAGGAGACCTCCATCCCCTGTGCGCAGGGTTGTTCTCTATTAAGGGTCAGGCTTTTGCTCAGCCCTCTGGGGCTAAAATATACTAGTGGCCAGATGACAGAGCAGGCCAGCCGCTGCCATTTTCACCCTCTGGCTCTGCGCCAGGTGCTGTGTAAGTGCTGTTTCTGCATCCCACTTTGCGCACACATCTTAGTCATTGTTCCGGCTTTACTGCAGAGAGCCTCTAGAGGAGGCCAGGTGACGTGGAGTCAGGACTTGTTTTTTTTTTTTTTTTTTTTTTTATTTTTTAAAGATTTTCTGTCTCTTCCCCACCGCCGCCTCCCCTTTCCCTCCCCCCCCCAATCAAGTCCCCCTCCCTCGTCAGCCCAAAGAGCAGTCAGGGTTTCCTGCCCTGTGGGAAGTCCAAGGACCACCCAGCTCCATCCAGGTCTAGTAAGGTGAGCATCCAAACTGCCTAGGCTCCCACGAAACCAATAGGTACAGTAGGATCAAAAACCCATTGCCATTGTTCTTGAGGTCTCAGTAGTCCTCATTGTCCACTATGTTCAGCGAGACCGGTTTTAACCCGGGCTTTTTCAGACCCAGGCCAGTTGGCCTTGGTGAGTTCCCGATAGAACATCCCCATTGTCTCAGTGTGCGGGTGCACCCCTCGCGGTCCTGAGTTCCTTGCTCGTGCTCGCTCTCCTTCTGCTCCTGATTTGGACCTTGAGATTTCAGTCCGGTGCTCCATGGAGTCAGGACTTGTACTCAGGCCCCCAGGCCTCTGCTCTGACTGCCTATGGGGCACTGCCTTGAGCTGTCCTTTCCATGTCTCTATAGGCCAGCCCTTGGGTAAGCAACCCTTGGGCCGGGATCTAGGGCCTTGTGTCTCCCTCCAGCCTGGCCTGCTCTCTGCTGTGGGAGGTGGAACCCCCCCCTACTGTCACCACTCTGCCCGCTGGCACTGCCCGCCCCTACTGCCAGCAGTGCCTTTGCTGGTGCCTTTCTCCTTGAATCCCTGGAGGCAGAAACAGGTGCTCATAAAATGTCCGACAGAGGCAGGCAGGAGAGAACTGATGGAGGGCTCCCCGACAGCTAGAGCCTGTGCGGGCTTGCAAGGGTCTGGGCGGAAGCCGAAGGAGCATTCCAGATGGAAGAGGCTGAAGAGACACTCAGGAGCATCTGAGGTGGAATGTGTGGTGAGCTGTGGAGGGGAGAGCTGGAATGAGAGCTCATCTGAGTGCAGAGGCGTCCAGCGGACTCCCTCCTGCCCCCACGGCCTCCTCCTGCACAGAAGGAGGACCTTAGCTCCTGGAAACACAGTGGATGTGAGCCCTGTGGGACCTGGGAAGAGGGTTTGGAAGCCATCTTGAGTCACTGGCTAGTTTTTTTTAATCTTCTGGGCCCAGAGTGTCAGAGAGTTATGAGCCCTGTAGCAAGACTAGGGGACAAGACACTCAGCTCCAGCATTCTAGGGAGCCTAGAGGTTGTTGAGGAACGCCCAGGGCAAGAAGTCACTGAAAGTGGCTGAACCCCATGTGGCTTGCTTACCCTTATCCTGCACCAGCCATGTAGATGTACCGACACAAAGAAAGCTCTGCGCTTGCAGTCCCAAGAGACTCAAAGGAAAAAGAAAACACAGCAGAACAGTACGCCAAGCCGTTAGTGCTTAACCAGTTCCCCAGTGCCCAGTGTTCTGTCCCCTGTGTTGATCCCATGGAAAGCCATTGCTGGAACCTTCAGGTGTACTGTCCCGTGCCACACTTGATTCCACATGCAAAATTCTCATTGTGGCTCCATCCTGAGCAGGGAGGAGCTCACAGAAGTAGACAGCTTCAAGGTGGGACTAAGCTGACTTTGCCAAAGGCCTTTCTGGGAATGTCTCAGACATCTGCCACTCTGGCTGCCCGTGTGCCCATGAACTCAGACAGTGCTGACCTGGCCAGTGTCAGGCCTTGTTCTGGGCTTCATTGGGGGATTTGTCATTGTTCTTTGGGGATGTAACACAGACCTGTTCTGACCTGCCAGAGACCTTTCTTCCTCTCTGCGGAAAGAAGAGCATGGGCCTTCCTCTGCTCCCTGCCAGCCTCCTCCTGTCCCGTGTGGAAGTAACCTTTCCAACAGAGCCCATCAGAAGCTTTTGACACTCTAGAGCAAACCCAGCAAGCCCTCTCAAATTGCCCGCTGATTGTCACTTCTAAACATGCCTTTTCCTTGCCAGCAGCAGGGTAGTCTCACTGGCAGGTGACCTTAGTTCATGCTCCAGGGTCCCCACACCTTGAGTGAAGGGGTAGAAGTGACACCGTGCTAATAATAGAAGCAACAGTAGTAAATGCTAACCATGTGTGGAGAGACCATTTCTCCCAGGTTAGCAGGTGAGGAAACAGACTCGCCCCCGAATGCACTCAGCAGTCGACACCACTAGGAAGAGATGGCCCAGGGCGGAGGATGTGGGCAGGTCACCCTGACACACTGTAAACCTCCTCCTTAGGTTCATCCTGTGGCTGTCCTGAAGGCTGAAGAAGGGTACACCTCAACAAACCCGTGTGTTCCAGCCAGTTCAGACCCATTCCTTGTTCCCCCAGAAGCAACAGTAAAGACCTCTGTTCTTGGCCAGCAAGGCTTTGATATACACGAGTGGAACGTAACTAAGAAAGGCCTTAGATGTTCTCTGTGTGCTCCGGGCTCTCCCATCACTGTTTGCATCCTGGAGTCTAGTCCTGATTCACATTCCTGAGGTGAAGGGGTTAACCCCAGACTTGCTGGAGCTTATCAGTGTAATCCTGGCTTATGCTGGCTGCATAGAAATGTCTCTGTTCCCTTGACTTTTCTGACTGTGAGAGCTACGGTTCTCCTGATCTGCCCAGCTCTTGGGTGCTAAAGTCACTGCTTAACTTGTCCCCGCTCTAAGAACCTGGCCTGGAGCAGAGGGCCAGAGTCACAGGCTCCCTTTGTCGTCAGGATGCAGCTAGCAGAGGGGTGGAGGCAAGGGCTCGGACACGTTGGTGGCCTCGAGCTTCCCCCAGTAAGTAGTTCTTTGGGTGACCATTGCACAAGAGCCAGTCCTGCGGTCCAAATGCCCCCTAAGTGGGGACCTCAGACCCAGACTCAGGGTAGCGGTGTGAGCCTTGCTCTTTTATAAAAGCTCATGCTCACTGATGGGAATCTGAGACCCTGGAGGAAAAGCACTCGGCACCTTATTCCTGTGCCCTGCCCACAGAGGTAATGGACCACAGAAACTCAGCTTCAAGATGGTGATAAATACTGTTTGTTTGTGGGTAGTATTGCCTGTGCCTGGCTGCACACTGCCTGACTTGGCCAGGAAATTTCCAAAGGAATTGAAAGAGCTGGGATTGTGGGTTTTAATTCATGATAGGAAGGATTGGCTCTGGGGCTCCGTGCCTCCCTCTGTCCAGGATCAAATGAGAATAGAGTCTTCCTCAGTTGGAAGTTTAAACCCCAGCTTTGGGGAATGGAGGGCCATTTGTGGTGAGGAGATACCTGCTTGGTGTGTTTGATACCTGCTTGCTCCTACCCTCAGGAGAGAGAGGCCTCCCACTCTTCCCCAGCTGGCAGAGCCCCCATCTCCTGGGTGCACAAAGGCATCCTTGCTTTGCTGACCTTGGCTGCGGTCTGTGAAGGTGGCTGCCACTCTCCTCCCCGCTTGCTGGGTTGCTGCTTAGATGCCTCCAGGCGGCCAGAAAGCCTGCCTTTCTAATCAGTGGAGAAACCAGCTTTGTCTGCCAGACTGAGGCAGGGCAGTAGATGGAGGGGGTGGGGGGTGGACAGCTGTTCCAAAAAGGAAACAGCAAAGCTGGAAATGGCTTAGAAACCCGGGGGCAAGGCTGATCGCAGCAGCATCCGGCCAGCTGCCGAGGGGCTCTCCTGCCTGCCCACCAGGCCTGAGACAAATGCCCGCCGACAGTCGCAGAAGCACAGCTGTCACCGGAAGGCTGCGAGCATGCAGGCTGGCAGCCAGAGGCCCGCGGCTGCAGGAGAACCTCTGCCTGGCATCCTCATTATCTCTGCTGTTGGAACCGGAGCCCCGGGAGCACAGCTGCTCTCAGCTGCGGTTTGGGGAGCTCTGGAAGCCATGTCAGGGGAGCCTCTCCTGCCAATGGAGGCCTCGCGGGGGCAGCAAGCCTGGAGAAGTACTTTTTTTTGTTTTTGCATCACTCTGCTGAAGCCCTCCTTCCGAGCCTGGCCTCGCCCTGCCAGAGCTTGTGACACAGATGGTCCTTTATGCTTGCAGCCTTCCCCCTCTGGCCCAAAGCGGTGTTCAGAACACATGACAAGAAGAAAACAAAACCCGTCATCTGCTCAGAGCCAGTTCAAGGGTGTCCCAAGGAGCCCCTGTCCTGAAGGCCTTTGTCCACTCCTGTCATGAGAGTCCCCCATACGTCCCGAGGTCAGGGTGGAGCATATGGAGGTACCCCAGGTGTGAGAGCTAAGCCCTGCTGAACCTTTGGCTGAGTTCTCTTTCTGGGGACTCTCCCTGTGAGCAGAGCCAGGCATGTGTGACAGCGTGGATGCTGGAGTCACATCAAAGCCTGTCTGACCTCAGCCGCAGACATCCCTGCTCTCCCTGGCGCCCTCGGAGGAAGGGGACAGGATGTGAAAGAAGCTAGAGACTGGGGCTGGCTGTCCTCTGCATCACTCTGCTCAGTTTTCAATTGATGTCCGACCTTGAGCGATGTGTCAATATTCCCCTCCAGTCCATCCGCCTAATCTGTCAAGTTCAGGAACACCTGCCCTCGTCCAGCCCGGCTGTGAAAAGCGAACTGTGCAGAGAAAGCCATCTTGTCACGGGGAATGTGGGTTGTTCTTACTTCCATAACCCAGAGCAGGTGGTGTGTCACTGTCTGGAAGACAGCTCTGGACTGACCGGGGAGGCAGCACATCTGGTGGGCGGGGTTCACTGCCACATGACCCTTATCAGGAAACCCGAGCTATGTGCTGGCTTGTTTGAATCCAGCCTAGTTTCTCCTGCCCTGAGTCTGTGAGCCCTGAGCTGACTCCCGGCAGGTCTGGATTGAGGCTAAGAGGGAAACACCAGGACTTAGAAAACGATGTCTGCTGAAGGCCCGAGACTGACAGGCAGTGCCTTGGCCCTGTGTCTTTCGTAGGAGCTGGGGACAGTTCTGTGTGGGCTCCCGTGGGTGTGTGTGGACTCTGAGAGACAGAAGGAGACAGGGAGACCATGCATGGAAAGACCATCTGTCTGGGCACAGGCCCAGATCCATAACCCAAGGACCTTCCTTTTCCTCTTCCCAAAAGCTCCTGCTTATGCCCCGGAGGAACAATAGGACAGCCAGACTCCCCTGCCCCTTTTCCAGCCCCTCCCAGCAGATAGCCAAGGTCAGGTTGGCTCCCCAGCTCCTGTCTGAGCTCAGGGTGTTTCCCAGGCCTCAGGGGGTGGCATGGGGTGGGGAGGAGGGAGCCCTATGTGTGAGTTAGAAGGGGAAGACTGTGTATACAAGGCTTTTCCTGGCAGAGCTGTGCTTGGTTCCGTTAAAGCCTCCTAAGCCGTGTTATTTTCTTTTAATCCCTGTGCTGTCCATCCCGGCCTGTGCCACCCTGCAGGATCTGCGTTCCCAAGCTGGAGCCTGTTCTGAGTGCCAGGGATGAGGGAACCAAGCATCTGACTCAGCATGCTCGCATGAAGGCCAGGACCCAACCACTCCGAGCCAGCCATGATATTGTGCCCACCATTGCTCAGGGCAGCCGGTGAGTGGAGCCTAAGCCAGGCTGGCCTGGGAGGGCTTGTGGCAGGGAAGGATCACTAGCACAAATAGTTCCAATATAGCCAAATGCCTTTGTTCTCTTCTCTTCTCTCCCCTCTCCCTCCCCCCCTCCCCTCCTCTCTCTCTCTCTCTCTCTCTCTCTCTCTCTCTCTCTCTCTCTCTCTCTGTGCGTGTGTGTGCATATGTTTTCTGTGTCAGGCACTTGCCATGATCATTTAGTCAGTCAACACACCATCACCCATAAGATGAGCTATAAAGACAAATGAACTATGTGACCTGAGCTCTCTGGAGGCGTAGAGATCACAGTCTCCAGGGAGAGATACAGGGAGAGTTCTGGGGGTTCTAGTGGAAGAGGGGAAAGCATGTGTGCAGAGCTGGCAGCATTTGCTCCACCTGGAAGGGACAGGTGAGGCTCTCAGAAGGATGTGACTTCCAAGATGGGGGTTATAGGAGCTGTGGATCCTCCCTGGGCAGGGAGGAAGGGGCACCATTCTAAGGGAGCTTCTTAGAGGCCGGCCATGGGGGAGCTCCAGGCCTGCTGAACATCAGAGCATAAGTCCTTGTACTGGTGTGGGGCCGCAGAGATGGGTAGACAGGTCGGTTAAACAGGGCTGGGGTTGATTAGAGTTAGGGTTATACTAGCATGCTCACAGGCCCCTAGCCAGAGGGTGATGCCTGGGTTCAAGTCAGGCTTTAGAGAGGAGGACTCCTAGGGCAGCACTGAGATGCCCGTTGAACAGCTGGTGAACAGCTGGATGCAGGACCATTGGCCGTGAGGCCAGAAACGGAGGTGTGGGTACTGTGGTGACTTCATCATGCTGGAGCTGCGAGAGAGCACATCCAGGGTAAGGGAACGGAAAAGGGGAGGATCGGGCACTCTTGGACTAGCTGTCATTACGTGACTGCCCAAACCACACGCCCGTCCCCGGCATTGGGCTTGTTCTTTGCATGGCGTATCTTAAAGCACTCCTTGCACACAGAATTCTCCAGCACACAGATGCAGCCCTAGCCGTGCTCTTCTGCCGCGTCAGGCCGTCCAGATCGTGGCAGGCCCAGCAGCCCCACCATGTAAATGACAAGGCCTGTGGCTTCACAGGTATGGTGGGCACACTGGCTTTGCCTGTCTTCTTTATCAGTGTGGTACTAGGGCAATGAGGATGCTTAGGAAATCTGAACTCTGTGCTCTGTGATGGGGCTGCTGGGCTGCTCACTAAAGGCTCGGGACATTCACAGAGCCCTGCCGTGACTCCACAGCAAACAGAAGCCTCTTCGTTCAATGTCATTGTGACCCGTAGGAGGAGGGCACAAGAGGACCCCCTATGCTAGTAAAATCTGCCCATCGGGTTGCTCTTTAGTTTCCACATGAATGCCATGTTCCCTGTCCACTACAGAGGACTCACTGAAATGACATGGCTTCTTTGAGGTGTCCTGGTTGTTTTCCACACGTGCAGAGAGATGCCTTTCACAGCACTCCTGCCCTGTTCTATAGGAATGTGTGGTGAGGCACACATAGACAAGCCGGCGACACCGACTTCAGTGTGCTTTGTCCTCTTGGGCGCCTCCTTCTCTAGTTTATTGCCCCTAGTCCTAACATCCAGTAGCTATTGTGAAGTGGGTTTCCTCTTCGTTGGCTATAAAAATGCAAGGTGACCTACTTCAGCAGCTGCCGTGTCCAGAGAAGAATTACTATGACTTGGCAGCGCTGGTGAATCCTCAGAGGGTAGAGCTGAAAAATCCACACCAGATGGCTCGATGCAGCTGCTCGGAAAGGTTACACTCCATCAGATCACTCTGGAGGGCAGGCAGAGTTAACACGGTGATGCCACGCAGGCCCCAGGCCTCAGCTAGAAGCAGGAGGTCCTGCCCCAGCCCGACTTATCACTCCTTTCAAAAAACAGCCTGGCAAAAGGTAAGGGAGGAATGAGGGCAGGAGAGCAATCTGTAGAAGGCCCTCTTTAGCCTAGGTCTACCTAGAGGCAGCCAGGTGAGCCTGGATCTGCAGGCCTTTCCCAGGAGGGGGAGGGGGAGACGTGTTGTCTGGAAGCCCGTCCACATAGAAATGGAGCAGCTCCCGGAAGGGGAAAAGCTGTTGCCACTTGGAGAATAGGCAGACTCGGGTTGATATCAATATTCTTCATCACAAAACACAGTACATGTCACTTGATCGCAGGAACATAGGACGTGTCAGCAGGCTGCACCCTGGGAAGGATTGTCCTATGTGGTGAGGCCGCAGAGCTCGCAAACATTACATCAGTTGTGTGCCTAGGATAGCATTGTCGTAGAAAGTGAGGCAGTGGACAGGGACTGGCCTCCTCAAAGGCCATGCCACTTCAGGGCAACAGCAGAGGCTCTGAGCTTGACTGGAATCCTGTCCTTGGGTGGGATGCCAGCAGCTCTGGGGTTTGCTTTTGCCTTAGCTGCCTCTTGTGCACGGCTGCAGGCCTCCCCCTGCTTTCCTGTGCTGTTGTCTGTGCGGCTGCCTGGGGCCTTGTCTAAATGACTGCATTGACGACTCCTACATGGTTAGCTCTTATTTTATTCTACTGATGACAGTGAATTTGGGTTTGTGGGATTTTGTTTTGTTTTGTTTTTGAGACAAGGTCTCACTGTGTGGTCCTAGTTGGCCTAGAACTCACTTTGTGGACTAGGATGGTCTTGAATTCACAGACATATATGTCTCTGCCCCCTTCCCCCGCAAGTGCTGGAATTAAAGGTGTACACCGCCATATCCACCATATCGTTTTTGAGATGGGATCTCGCTCTGTAGTCTAGATTCCCTTGAACTCAGAATCCTCCTCTGCCTCAGCCTCCTGAGTGCTAGAATTGGGGATATGTATCACCACACCCAGTTTTACTTTGCTTTGCTTTTTTGTTTGTTTGTTTTCCAGACAGGGTTTCTCTGTGTAGCCCTGGCTATCCTGAAACTCGCTTTGTAGACCAGGCTGGCCTCTAACTCACAGAGATCCCCCTGCCTCTGCCTCCCGAGTGCTGGGATTAAAGACATGTGCCACTGCTGCCTGGTTTCTTTTGTTTATTTGCTTTTGTTTTTCTTTTAAAATAAAAATAGTATTTCTGTCTTCGGAGTGAATTCTAAGATGGTTCAGTCTACCACTTACTGTCCTGGAGACAGGTTCATTTCTTCCTTGCCAAGACTTAGAGCCCACTTCCGCCCAGCAGAGCAGGGTGCTGGTTCTGGAGCCCAGCAAGTGGAATGGGTTCTAAGCCAAATACCAAGTCTTCAGTGAGCCATGCTGTGCAGTATAGACCTGGCTGCCCGCCTGTCCCGCTCTGTGCCTGGTGAGGTGGTACTTGTTTGCTGTTGCTCGCTGACTCCTTCCCACCTAACCCTCTGCAACAGTAAATGTGGTCAGTGTTCAGGGCAGGACACATCGCCGCCGAAGGGAACTTATTCTCTCCGACCTCTCTAAAGAAGCACAGCAATAGGATCCGCTGTGTATGAAGAGGGTTACCTTAAGGAGTTGGCTCACAAACTGGTAGAAATTTGATAAATCCTGAACCTTCAGGATAGATAAGCCTTGGTTTCCCTCAGGCCTTTAACTGATCGGATGAAGCCCACCACATGATGGTAATCTATTTTGTTCAAAATCTGCCAGTTTAAATGTTAATTTTGTCTTAAGAAAAAGAAAGGCTTTGTGCTGTTAACATCCAGAATAATGTTTGACCGAGTATTTAGGTTCTGGGTCCTACCACACTGACATTAGATTAAGCACCATGTTTCCAGCCATGGGAAATAGTATCCTCTGCAATCTGAGGACTCCTCAGAGATCTCTGCTCTGGTACAGCCAAGCTCTTGACTTACTCTATAGAAAAGCATTTCAGGATGAGGCTGTGTGAGGCCCAGCTGGAGCGTATTAAACAAAGGAGGTGCGAGCTCAGAGAGACAATGGGAGTGGCATCGAGAAGGACGCATATTTAAACACCCCAGCAGTACTTATGTGTGTGGTTTTGTGGCCTTTGAAGGTACAGGGTTCAATGGGTGGGAGTCAGAGCTGGGGAGGGAAGAGGTGGCAGCCCTGTATGCTTACCCCAAAGGCTATCGCTGTGCCCTTTGCTGGGTAACGTGACGTGATGCCAGCTGTGTGAGGAACCAAGTCTGGAGGTGCGAAGGAAGCAGGCTGACTGCTCTGTGAGAGAAAGTAAAGAGAGTGGGAGAAATTTGGTCAGCCCCAAAGACAAAGGCTCCAGAGGGAAAAGGAAGAAGTGTGGGCCTTGGACCAGGTCCATTTACATAACTCTGTAAGGTGGCTACTGGGGTCCTGAGATGAGGCTTGTGGAGATCCGAGCAGGATCTGGCCTCCAGCCAGTGTTTGCCAGAGCCAAAGCTAGTAAAAGATATGAAGATCTCCAGGGTGCACTTCTGAAGACAGATGTGTGTCTGTGAGGTGGGATGGGGATCAGAGGCTCTGGGGCTATCTAAGAGAGGCACCAGGGACTGCTGATCTGCAGTCCATCCCAGCAAGGCCTGAGGAATGTCGGGTCAAGAGCGCGCCAAGTCCCAGACTTCCAGCCTCACAGAATACCCACAGAAACTTCTTCCCATGAAGGCTTTATAGCACTTAAAACTGCTCTTCCGTGTTCACAGGGGGCTGGTTCTAATCTCCCCCTTTGATGCCCAAACCCATGAAAGGACAGGCATTTTCCTGTACACATTGGACCACCCCTTTAGGGCAATGGAAGTGTTTTACAGTGTTGCCATATTGTCATGTTTAGGGGTGACAAGGAGAATGAGGTTCCTCCATGTTCAGTACAGATAAGGGTTTTGTTTTCAAATATTTTTATGATGAGATTGGACCCCTAGATGTGGAACCAACTCACACAGAACTGACTGTACATGTTTCTGCAACTCATCACTGCCAAGTCAGACCACTTCCTCACCCTGAACACACACATGTGCACACACACGGAGTGCACATATAAGCTCTGCCATCTTCCTCTGTACCATCCTTAACTTTTCTTGTTAACACATACTGAGCCCAGCAACAGAAAACAAGTTAAAAGTAAAGGAAGTTGTATCAGTTTTGTTGAGCAGTGTGTACTAGGATGGACGTGTGCTGTGGGATAAAGCTCTTGTACACTGTAAAGGTTTGTTACTTGTATTGGTTTAATAAAACGCTGATTGGCCAGTAGTCAGGCAGGAAGTAGAGGCGGGGTGACCAGACTAAGAGAATTCTGGAAAGAGGAAAGTCAGAGACACAGTCTCAAGCCACATGTGGAGGAAGCAAGATGAGAATGCATTGGGGACCTTAGGAGAGGGTTGAAGGGGAGGGGAGAGGCAGGGAAGGGAGCAGAGAAAAAAATGTAGAGATCAATAAAAATCAATAATTAAAAAAAAGAGGAGAATGCTTTACTGAGAAAAGGTACCGAGCCACGTGGCTAAATACAGATAAGAATTATAGGTTAATTGAAGTTGTAAGACCTAGTTAGTAATAAGCCTGAGCTAATAGGCCAAACAGTTCATAATTAATATAAGCCTCTGTGTTTCTTTGTTACTGAACAGCTATAGACTGGGTGGGACAGAAACTTCCATCTACAGGCTTGGGATGTGTATATCCTGCAGTATGGGCTTGGGTTTGCCGTATGACTTCCCAGGAGCCTGACTGGGGGTAACCTTGTAGGTGAGGCCTGGGGCAGAGCACATCTCTTCCCTTCCTCGTTACCCTCTTGCATGTGACCTCTCTCCTGTCTCCTCACTAGCAATGGCCAAAGCAGTCCAGCCCTGGATGTCAGGAGCACCTCTGCCTCCAGAGAGTTCATAATTAATGGGAACCTGAGTGACTCCTCCAGTGTGGAGTCTGGCAATGGGCAGTGGCCCAGGCAGGGAATGCCACCGTCTCACGTCCGATTTGAAGATGAGTCTGCTCACGAGGCTGAGTTCCGGTACCTGGAACGGCGCCAGCAGCGCCAGCGTCAGGTGTTAAGCACAGTGCTACCAGCTGTGGGCCAAGGACCTCTGCGCTCCAAGCCTGATTTAACCAACTACATTAACCATAACATGGGGAACGGTGCATTCCACAGGCCTGTGGACTCCCTGGACCACAGTGATTTCCCTGCACCACCATCGACATGGAACAGTGAGAGGACATGCCCAGCCTGTGGCAGCTATCTTGAGGAACGTTGCCCTGCTGAGGGGAGAGCAGCGCCTGACCTGAGGGTCCTCCAGGGTCTCCAGGCAACCTGTGAGCAGGCATTGCTGCTGAGACCCTGTAATTCCCATGACTTGAGCTCCCCATTCCCAGGGTTCCATGCAGAATGGATCCGGGAAACACACATCACAGACACTGTTGCCACGCACCCTGAGGAGGGGGACTCTGCCCTCAACAGCGCCATCAATTTAGATAGTCGGACTGACATTAAGGATGCCAGGACCTCTCAGCCCAGTGGGGCAGGTGGGCAGATCCAAGGCAGCAGCCCCCTGCAGTGGCAGTGTGACTCTAGGCCTCAGGAAGGCCCCAGGTGGCCCAGAACTGAGGTGGAGCTGCCCTGGGACCTTCAGGCCTGGCCTCACCTACACGAGGTTGGTAATGTGGTTGTAGGAGGGGAGATGAAAGGAGCCACAGGACACATACCCCAGGGGCCTTTGCTTATAAAGGAAGACGCTGAGCCCAGACCTGCCTCAGAACCCAAGAGGTCTTGGTCCCAGGGGCATCTTGGGCTACAGTTAGGAAATCACGGGGCCCACCCCGAGGATTCCTGGACTACATGCAGGACAGCTTATGCTGTGTCGTCTTCTGAGAAGCTTGGGTCCTCAGGGTCAGGTCAGCCAGACCAAGTGACTGAAAGCCAGGAGTCTCTGGAAACTGCCTGCACTCCTCTCCAAGGAAGCCCTGAGGAGCCCTCTGCACCTCGCCCAGCCCTGCAGCCAACTTTGCCCTTCTCCCTCGAAGGCTGGGCACCAACCCTTCCCTCTTCAAAGAAGTCCTGCCCGATGCCTCTGAGGAAGTCACCCTGTACTGGGCATCACAGGCAGGAACACCAGGTTGAGCATGTGGACATCCCCCTGCCTCTGTCCCCTCCAAGAATCTCAGTTCACACCTTGCCCCAGACCCAACCCAACAGGCCCCGTGTCAAGCATCCGCTGCTGGACCTGTCCGCCAGCACCAACGGCAGTGTCCCTCTGCGGCTGCAGGAGCCCCGTGGAGCAGCTGTCCCCAAGAGTAGAGCTGACAGGGAGTACTGCTGCCAGGAGCCTGGACTGCCCCTGGAGAGTGACAGAGATGGTAAGGATTGCTGTCCTTCATGTCCAGCCCAGGCCAGGTCTGGGCCACTCCTTTGCTCTCCATCTTGATCACGGGATAGCCGCACACCATGCCCAGCATCCCTGTGGGTCCCACACGTCAGCAGCAGGTGGCGGGGAGGTAGCAGAGTATGGGCTGGGTGCAGGATTCAGCATTAGCACGGAGCAGGTTAGCCAGATCTTTGTGCTTGGGGAATGGGGACCGCAGGCAAGGGGATGGTGCCCTCTTCTTGCTGGGAAGTCTGAGGTGTATAAGGAAATCCAGTCCACAGCTGCTGGAGGCCAGGCCTTGTGGGAATTCGACTCCTGTAGAGTCTGACGAGCAAGCCAGCAGCTCCGGAATCCACCATTGCTCAGAATGCTGATTCTCCTATAGTCACCTTGCCACTTCCGCCACCTTTCTCTGGTGCCTTGCACCATTTCGTTCACTGCTGACCAGGCACCTGGTACACACTTGGACTTGTCCTGGCACTGTGGGGAACGCATAAGAAAATTACCTAGGCAGGATCCCTACCTTTAAGGCTCACTGTGACCACACGGGCCTGAGGCTGGCTTGCACCTAGCCACTTCCTACTGGACTTCAGAGACCTAGTGACCTTTCTGGAAAACCTGAGTCTGCACCTCCTTGAAAGCATGATGCAGATTCTCTTGTTAGTGACAGGGGCCGAGAGATGGATTCCTCTCTCCATGCTCATGGTTTCTTATTCAGAAAGTGAGGGCTAAAACACAGCCGGTGTCATGACCGCGAGGTCAAGTCTATGAAGGGCTCAGTATCACCGAGTGCATGCAGTGCTCCCAAGGTGGACGCTGTTGTAAAAGTTCTGACCCTTTTAGATTTGTTTCCCCTGCTTTTGACTCTGTCGCTTGACAGAGAAGGGGCATGACATACCACAAATGGCTTTTCACTTAACAGATACTAGTCTCCCACCGTGTACCAGGGGCTCTCCATGAGGCCCCACCCTTGTCCTCATTCCAGTTTAGAGGATGCCCAAGGATGGCCCTGGCCACCTTCCCTGACTGCCTCCTGCGGCTTCCACTGCCCCTGCTCCTGGGACTCCCACCTCTCCCCAGTGTCTCCTGTCCCTAAGACGAGGAATGGGCCTTTCCCCACTGTGACTTGTGGGGATGGTCTGTGTTGCAGGGGGATGCGGTGCTGTTACAGGAACACTCCAGGACTCTCCCCAGTCAGCAGATGTCGCCACTGTCAGTTCTACAGTCGTCACCCTTTCCCTCACCCCAGAGGAGCCTGAGTGCCGCCTGGAGCCGCACAGGACAGAATCCAGCTCTGGAGACCACATGCCCACTGGGTGAGTGGCAAGAACGAAGCCTGACTACAGTGGGCGTGTTGGATGGGGAAAGAAGCTGTAGCAGTAACATCTCTAACCCCGTCCTCCCAAATCCTGGAGGGTTCCTAAACCATGTCCTGGCACCCTAACTCACCCTTTCCAATCCCCTCCCATCTCCCCCCCTCTCTCTTTGTGCTTTTTGTGTGTGTTGTACATATGTGTTCTTGTGAGTGTGTGCACGTGTGTCTGGGGACACATGGTGTGAGCATGTGTACAGACCAGATGTTGACACTGAGTGTCTTACTTAGTTGCTCTGCACCTGGTTTTTGAGCCCCAGGGATTCACTTGTCTCTGCCTCCCCAGACCTGGGATTAGTAAGATTCTCTGCCGTGCGCCTGCCTGGCTTTTAAACTGGAGCTGGGATCTAACTCGGGTCCTCGAGCTTGCATGCTGAGCACTGTTTCTACTCCCAGCCCTTACCTTTTCCAGGTCTTTTTATCTGATGCATATCTGCCCACCCCTGAACCCCAGCTTCTAATGCTACAGCTGAGAGCCACAGGCCTCAGGGAGCTCCTAGATACAAATTGTTTTCCATCTTTGCTTCGGCTGGGGTTAGACATGTGAGGTCTTGCCTTGGGGCCTCCTTAGGCCGAGTGCAAAGCCCTGGTGAACCTGGTACTTCCCTGCTCCCACTGTATCTGTGACCACACGGCCACACACAGCCGCCTTAGGACCCAGCCAGGCCTGGGCATTTGCCAGGATGCGAGGTCTGTCTTCAGTTTCTCCTGGACACCTCTCCTGGGTATCTAGCTGTCCCCTCAACAGAAACAGAACCGTTGCTTTCCCAGCCCCCTTCCCAGCAGCCACGCTGCTATCCACACAGTGCTCAAACCCTCCTGCTTCCCCCACCTCCACCCTCTGGCAACCCTCTCTAGCCCCAGCCCCTCTCTCTGCCATCTGCTCTGAGCTGCCTCACTTCTTAGCTGCACGAGGGAATATTTTTAAAAAACCCAATTAAATGGAATCATTGTCCTACTTAAAGTCCCATGGCAGTCTCTCTTCCCCTTCCCTCCCCGAGGTTGACAGAGCTTGGCAGCGCGCTGGGCCTGCCTGCCTGACCTCCTACCACACCTCTTCCTGCCTTTCTCATTACCTGGCTGCTGCCATTGGACACGTCAGACTTGGTTCTGCTCTGGCAGCGGCCCCAGCTGCTCAGTGAGCCTGCGGCTCTCACTTCTAGGGTTAATGGCCTGACTCCGGCCTGTCACTGGCCCTTGGTGTAAAGGTTATCTGCTTCCCAAAGAGACCTTCCCTGGAAACTACTGAAAACAAGCGCCTGGTCACACTCTGCTTCACACACCACTGTGAATGGTTTTCCTCCCTCATGTGTTGCTCTGCTGTTGAGAAGCTTCTGTACACCCTTAGCTGAGACATCCTGAAGGAGTGGATGGATGATGAACCCATAGCTGTGTGCTGTGGTGGGGCTATCCTGAGCTCATGACTGTGTGCTGTGGTGGGGCTATCCTGGGCTCATGACTGTGTGCTGTGGTGGGGCTATCCTGGGCTCATGACTGTATGATGTGGTGGGGCTATCCTGGACTGTTCTCCCCAGAAGCTGCTTTCACTCAGCACCTGGCGGTCTGCATGGCTCCCCTCGCTGCAGCCTGATGGTTCCTCATCGGCACTGGTCCATCTGGGGCCTATGGGACCTTAGGAAGCCGGATGCAGCCAGCTCTTGCCAGCCTATCAAGCCATCTCCAGCCACATTCTGCCCCCCCTTGTGTTTCAGAGCATCACCTGAGACCAGTGCAGGGCATGTGCCACCCTCCGCCACCCATTCTGATGGGAGTAAGAAAAGGAGGAGTAGTGTCTCCTCCACCCTGGGGCTCAAAAAACTCTTCTCAGCCCTGGGTCACACCCCCCGAGCCAGACTGGGCACATCCCGGAGCTACAGTGTGGAACAGCTGCAGCCCTCAGCACTAGCTCCCCAGACCAGTACCTCCAAAATGAAGAGAGCCCCGTCATTGCAAATCCTGCATCTGGTAAGTCCCCAGGGCCCTGGACGATAGGGTGCGGCCCCAGGACAGGAGCGGCAGTGTTGAGGGTCCTTGCCTGGAGCCTAGTCACGAAAGTGGGGACCTGCTGGTGTCCTCAAAGCTGACTCGTAGGGCTTGTGCTCACTGTGTGCAGTACCCCTTAATCCTGTTTTCCCCACCACCTACTCTCTTCTTTCTCCTGCTCCCTCAAATTTGTTGCTTCTACTTCCTGGAGAGTTCACGGCCTGGTTTCTTTAACCTTTCTCTTGGCCCCAGTGACTCTTTTAATCCACACACAATTTCTTCTTGCTTTCTTTTTTTAAAAAAAAAATTGTTTTCTCTCTCTCTCTCTCTCTCTCTCTCTCTCTCTCTCTCTCTCTCTCTCTCTCTCTCTCTGTAGCCTGTATGTATGCCTGTGCACCATGTGTATGTGGTACCCACAGAAGCCAGAAGAGGGCATCGGATCCTCTAGGACTGGGTTCTAAACAGTTGCGTGCTGCCATGTGAGCGCTAGAGATTGATCCTGGGTCCTCTGGAAGCGCAGCCAATGCTCTTAACCATTGAGGCATCCTTTCTCCATTTCCCAAACACAATTCATTTCAGTCAGTATTGCTACAGCAGACTTTGGCCCATCCGTTCTGGTCTTTCTTCATGTGACTTCCTTAGTATATCTGAGGTTGCATAAATCTGGCCATACCAACTGCCCTTGCCAGGAATGCATCCATTTCGTCATTTATCACATTCAGGATACAGTGCTGTGAGAGGATCTGTCGCCTGTCTGCTTTGATGTCTCATCACTTCCAGAACGCTCTTGGCCTCTGCTGGATAGACCCTTCCAACCGTCATGGTCTGAAGGGATCCTTCCCTGAATGTGTCTCCCCCGCTGACTCCTGCTATTTCCTCAGTGCTCCAGGCGTGTTTTTAGAAGACATCACTGTCCTCAGACCGAGGGGCCTTCTGCTCTGTTTGTCCTCTCACCAGGGCTCACTCCTCCATGTCTCCGCTCACTGGAGTACGGTATCTGCACTCCCAATACCCATCTTAGTCATTAGTCTAGTGTACCCAGTTCACGCTGAGTGAGCACCAGGCGCTGGCTAAACGTCTCCCTCTCCGTGTGCTTAGCAAATCACCCCAGCACACGAGCCTCGACCAGGAATCCTGCTCTGTACTAGGAGCATGTTGGTATTCTGTGGATTCTGTCCTCTGCCTCCTCTGTGCAGAGAAGGTGGTGGTCTACAGAGCAAGTTCCAGGAAATCCTGTCTTGAAAAATACAAACAAACAAAACTAAACAAAAAAACAAATAAGGGGGGCTGGAGAGATGGCTCAGAGGTTAAGAGCATTGCTTGCTCTTCCAAAGGTCCTGAGTTCAATTCCCAGCAACCACATGGTGGCTCACAACCATCTGTAATGGGGTCTGGTGCCCTCTTCGGCCTGCAGGCACACACACACAGACAGAATGTTGTATACATAATAAATAAATAAATTAAAAAAAAACAAATAAGGTAGAGAGCACTGGAGCCTTTCCTTGCAGAGGCCTCGGAAGGAGGAGAATGCAGGGCAAGTGACTACTGTCATGGGCTCAGCACAGTATCTAGGGGAGAAGATCCACGTGCAGCATCTGCTATCTGCATGAGTAGAGATGGGGAGGAGAAGCAGAGGGTGAGCTGGGAAGGAAGACACCATCTCAAGTTAAACATCTCTGGCGTTGAACTGTGAGCCGTGGCACTTGGGTTTATTGCCATTGGAGTTTCTGTCTCCAGAAACCCTCAAGGAAAATGACAGTGGACTAGTGTCTCAAAGGTCTCGCTGCGGTGTAAGCTGAGTGACTGAAAGCAGAGAGCCACCTGGCTAAGGATGGGGCATGCAGGAAGGAAGGTACAGAATTCCAGAACTGAACAAAAAGCAGCATTCCGGTCTCCCCCAGGAGAGCAGATGCCTGAGTATCCGTCCTCCCCTCCGCGACCAAACACACCAGCACATACTGTGCCCTCTCTCATATCCCGTACCCTCTCTCATGTCCCTGTGCCCTCTCTCATGTCCCTGTGCCCTCTCTCATGTCCCTGTGCCCTCTCTCATGTTCCCATGCCTTCTCTCATGCTATCTTTTTTGGGGGTGGATCTTGGGCACCTGTGCCCCTCTTTTTAGCTGGAGAGCTCTTGTCACAGCCTCACTCAAGTGCCAGCTCCTCGTCTGTACCCATACCTTCTGAACCAAAACATCTCTGCTTAAGGAACTTGTTATAAGCTCCTGGAGCTATCAGTTAACTAGACTCATCCTCACTCCCAACTGGAAGCGTTCTGCTCTAAGGTGTGTCATGTCGAGTACACCACCAGTGAGCCACACCCCAGCCCCTCCCCTAAGGAAGTGTCCCTAAGGGACTTAGGATCCTGTTCCTCCTGCCACAGCCTCTGAGTACTGGGGAGATTTCCACAGTGAGCTAAGTGCTGAGTTGTTACTGCTTTGATGTGTAGCTCCATCTCTCGGAGCAGGTTCTACTGACTTTTGCTAGGTGTCTGGACGTGCAGACCAAGGCTTGTATCTTTGTGTGCCGTCAGGTTCATGGTTCCGGCAAATCCTATGTTGCGGACCCCTTTCCAGGCTGCTTTTCTCACCTGCAATATTGGGCCTTTCCCACTAGGTGTCACCCTCTCATCAGCATCGGAAAGCAGTTTCCTTCCAGAACCTCCATTCTCTGCTAGGGGGCAAGGGAGATCGGTCCAGCCTCTACCGGGTAGAGGGGTCAGGGGACCCCAGTACACCGAGCAGGTAAGTGTGGCACCAGAACCTAAAGGATAAACTCAGAGTCGCCAATGGAGCTAGCCACTCAGTCCTTTCTTCCCTCAGCACCACAGGCGTGAGCCAGTCTTTCCCTTTAAGAGGAGGTGAGGCAGAGTGGTGCCTTGTGCAAGTGAACACTGAGAGGTAGGCTTGCTGGAAGGTGGTGCTGGAAAGCTCAGAAGCCTCTCTCTCGGCTGTCCCAGGACATCCTAAAATCAGCGTATAGAGTTTCTTTATCACAGCCAAAGATCCTTCTAAACACCCAGAAACAGGAATCCCCAGAGGCCCTTGGTTCCTGACCTCTCTGCCCAGGCCCTCTTACCTATCTGCTTTTACCCAGGGCTTCATGGGAAGACTTTGGGCTGGGGAGTAGAGGTAGGGCAGGGAGCTCTTGAGAACACTATATAAAATTTATATGTAATTCTCTCTAATTCTCAGAGGTCTCTTCCTAAAAATGTTGGAAACCGCAGTCCTTGCTTCAAGGCACTTAGCCCTGAGGAGCTGCCCTCAAATGCGGTAGCTGTCTATCTCTAGCCTAGGGAACCCCAGTCTTTAGTGCCAGGCTCCGAAGTCAGAGGTGCAGGTCACCTTAGGGCCAACAAGGAGCTGGCCCTGGTTCCTGGCCCTATCTTATTGTCTTTGGTCTCTTTGTAGGCCAGCCAAAGCCTTTCCCCATCGTGCCCTCAGCGTGGAAGATGTGGGTGCCCCTAGTCTGGCTCGCACTGTGGGCCGGGTGGTAGAGGTGTTCCCCGATGGCACGAGTCAGCTGCAGCTGCAACGACCTCCAGAGGGCACTTTTGGTTTCCGTGTGGCCTACGGCAATGGACGTCGAGACTCAGGTATGCCCTTGGTAGCCTCAGCAGAGTACCCGGGGTGTGGTCAGGTTCCTTCTGGGCTTGGCTGAGCAATGGAGAAAGGCTCTCCTGGTCCCCCCAGAAGCTCCTGCTGCTGTGAGGGCTGAACTGGCAGATTTGATTGCACTGTCCCTCTGCTGTCCTGTGACATCTTGAAATCAGAGTCCTCGAGGCTTTTCAAAGAAGCAGAGGAAAACTGTCTGTGCTTGCCAGTTCTCGGCTCTTCCTTTGATGTGGTTGATGTATTTCAACGGCTCCCGGCCTCCAGCTGCTGGTGTGTCTGGGCATGTGGAGTGGGCCTGCCTGTCTGCAATCCTGTCCACAGCCCTCCCTCACCAGCTCCTTGGGGCTTTGTTCAGATGGATGCTGGCTCCGGGCGCCTTGCCGGATTGCCTGCTGTGTGTCCTAATTCAGTCCCACTGTCACTGAGTTCTTGGTCCCTCTATATCCGTGAGTCCTTCATGGTGACCTGACTTGCCTAGGCCAAAGCTTGTAGTCCAGAGTGCATTTGAGTACAAGGGACCTTGAAAGCTATCCACAGGCTGTGCTAAGTGGGGAAGGTTGGGAGGTGTGCTGAGGGAGGGCGGGCAGAGGAAGAAGAGAGGGAGGGAAGGCAAGCCCAGGGCTGTGCTCCTGGGCCCTACAGAGGAGGCTCTCCTGCTCTTGAGTCTCCTAGGTCCAGGCTGTTTAACTGAGAAAGCCCTCCTGCTGCTGGGCTTGTAGCACAGCCTGTGTTCTCGCATCTGTCCCGTTGCTCACCACCCAGCAGCTTCCAGGAAATATGTGCATCAGGTGCCTTCCTTGTGCACTGTGGCTACGGGGGTTACAGCACCAGGAAATATATCTATCAGGTGCCTTCTCATACGCGCTGTGGCTTGGGGGGGTCACAGCACCGCAGGGAGTGCACAGACCCCTGACCTGACGGGCAAGCACTCCAGCGAGGGTGCTGGGCCAGTTCTAAAAGTTTGCTTCATCTATTTCGTACTGTGACTATGACCTAGTGAAAAGCGACAGGAAGCAAACGTAAACACAGCAGGCATGGCAGGCGCCCTGGAGACCACGTGAGACATGAGTGGAGATGGGACACGAGAAGGGTGGAGCTGTCCAGGGCTGGGAGATGAGATTCAGGATCAGAGGTCCTAAAGGCCATGGCATTGTCTGCTGAGAGGCTTCAGGCTGTGCTGTCCGGAGGGACTTGGGGTTCCTCGCTGAGTAGGGCAGGGACCGTCTACTGAAGGAGATTTTAGAGCAGAGGGTTGAGAAGACACAGTGGGACAAGGACTGGCACTAAACCGATTTCCACAGTGCAGGAGGCAGACAAAATAGCAGATGGCACAGCGTGGCCGTGGAGATGGTGAGCAGGGACTTTAATCTGGCTGGTTTGCAGTTAATGTGACCTGAACTTCTTGGTGAGAGAGAGATTGGGAACAGGAATGGGGTGGGCCTCCCCCAATCTGGACCTGGGGAGGGTCAGATGTGAAGAACCAGACAGTGTCATCCAGGCTGTCTCCATGTCCCTTACTTGGAATGTCCTGTCCAGGTGGTGTCCCACTCTTGCGACTGTATTTGGCCACCAGATATCACACGGGGATCTCAGTGTGGTGGCTGCTGCTGTTCCCACCACAGGCCCTCCCCAGCTGCTTAGGGCCACTTCCCCTGAACCTCGGAGGAGCCACGGCCCCGGGCTGCTCTGGCTCCTTGCTAAGCATCAGTCAGGATGCCAGCATGTGTCCCATCTGACACCACACCCAGGAAAACAGCAGGCCCTGCCTTCTGGTTCTAACCGACTACAACATAGGCATCCAATATCCTTACCAAAGGCTGCTCCAGCAGACCATAAATGCCAGAGTTGCCTTGCAGTCACGATTTCAGCTGGGAAGCCTACCCAATCTCCCCAAAATGGCTGGACTGACGTCATTGTCTGGTCTGGCTTGGCTACATTCTTCTGGGTTTTGTCATTCCTCCCCACCTGCCTCTCCTCCTGCACACCAAACACTTCTGTGGGAGGAGGGGGTGGCTCCCTCTCTCCATGCCAACAGTGTGTAGACCCAGCAGGTAAGCTGTTCAGGCATCAGAGAAAGGAGATCAAGGATAGGGCAGGGCCCCAGTGGAAGAGCCACCTGCCAAAGGATGTCTGCCAAATGACACTTGGTCATTTAGCGGCTGAGCCTCACTGGGAAGGCTCGTCTTGGCCGAGAAGCACAGAAAAGGACATCCAGACTCCGGACAGGAGAGGAAGTGTGTATGCAGCTCAGATCAGCCAAATGGCCGCAAACTTTTAGGTTACTTGAAGGAATTGTAGTCCGTATTCAGAGCCTGGCTTCTCTGGGACCCAGAAGCTGCAATAAAGGGCTCCCCCCTGGTCTGTGGGCCAAGGTACCCCTTTCCACAGTCCACGATGCTCCAGACCAGAGTTGGAGGCACCAGAACAGACACCTGACTAGGAAGGGCCTTGGGGCAGTTGCTGTGTTTCTCAGGCAGCTGGCGAAGGGGTCAGGGCCGTGCTCAGCTGTCCCCAAATCCTATTGTATTGTCAGTTCAGCAAAGTCACCCACAAAGGCTGTCCCCTGCTGTCCCCCAGCAGGCTGGCTATGCTCACACAGCAGAACATGGTAGTGGACTCCAGCCTTCTCCAGAGGAACCTGCCTGTGTACCCTGTCAGATGGGGGCAGCGGACAGAACTTGAGAGATGCCTGGCCCTCAGCTGGGCACTCCAGTGCTATGGCAGCAGCGGCTGGAGGCCTGCCTTCTCAGCCCGAGTCCGCATAACCTCTCCCACAAATGGATTTCCTGAGAGTAAGCCATAAATGTGGGCAGAAGGTTCACTTTGGCTGGACTCTGGCCCAGATGCCCCCACTCCCAAGTGAGAAACTGTGAGTGGTGGCTGAGGACAGGGCAAGCCCTGGACATACTGTGAAGCAGATTTGGTCTCAGCCACGTCTGCTACTCTGGTGGCACTGTCCCCACCGTGGCCTCTGGACTGACCCTGGGTCCTTGATCCATCAACTACATCTGTTTATGAGTCCTGGGCAACAAATGCAAGACACACAGGTCTTCATTTTAAAAATGACTTCCTTATCCTAAAAGCTGCCATCAGAAAAGGGTAAGATCAGTTTATTACTCCTGAACTGCAGATGAATGTCTTCAAGCATCATTTGCATGGGTTTTCTTGTTTTGAAAGAGGCTGCAGAGAATGAGGTTATGCATGGGGAGGCGGGGAAGGGGAACATGTGAGATGCTTCTATGTTTCAGTTGTGAGGCGTGTGTGTCTCTGTGCCCTGTAGGATTTCTCACCCCCTCTCCTCTTCTCCTCTGCAGGACTCTACGTGCAGGCCATGGCTGACCAGGAGACTGCCAAGCTGTACTCAGGGCTGCTCGGGGTGGGGGATGAGATCCTGGAGGTCAACGGGGCCAAGGTTGCTGGGCTGGGCTTGGCTCACATCAAGGAGCTACTGGCTCGTGTGGAGAGCTTGTCAATCCGTGTCTTGAGACAGAGGCCTGTTTCCCAGTGACCCCCTGACCCCCACACAGTGAGGGACTGGAAATACACTACTCAGAGATAATTTGTGGCTGGAAAATGCGGTTCACAGATCAGGGTGGCATCTAGTTGTCTGGGCTGTGGGAGAGCTGCTCTGATCCACCACCTGCAGAAAGAGACGAAGAGACTGTTTGTATGTTCCAGTTAAGGTCACTAATTTATGCAGATCTGGGGAAAGAAAATAATGGTCTTTTTCCATGACTGAAGTGGTAGCAACAGGATGTGTCCCTTTGTTGGAGGGAGAGGAGAGCGAAGGACTGTCTCCTTGGGTTGATCCCTGAGAGCTGGCCTCACACCCTGGTCACACTCACTGAAAAGCCTCCTCAGCCCCCAGCACAGCAGAGACAAGTGGCCACATCGGCCTTGTGCAGTCTCTTTCAGCTGTGGCTTGCCTGGTCCCCGTGACTGCACCTTTGCTCCTGATCCAGAAGGGGCTCAGTGTCCTGGCACAGCACAGCAGCCAAGAGTGCAGGGTCCAGACCAAGTGCTGGGAAGTACGACTGTCAAGCGTTCTGAGCCAGAATGTTAAGAAGTTCTAGGAAATTTTTATGATCAACACCAAGCTGAAAAAATGAAACTATTGCCATTTTTAGTAAGTGTG